AATCCCCATGAAGTCGTAACTGTATATGTATGGTGCACCATAAAGGAACAAAACTAATTAGTTCAGGGCTAAGACCACACAGCCTGCGAGAGGTTTCATCACCCTCTTTAGCAGAATCCTCATGATGGCTCTCACTGGGGATTCACTCAGGTACTGCTGTGATGAGGGCCATAACACATATGTGAGAGAAAAGGGAGAGAAAGTGTTCTCATATTTCTGAGACTCCATTATTTCTGCAAGCTACAGCAAAACACATTTGCAGGCATTCTTCGAGGAGTTATAAATAAGGAAAATTAAACTACCATCGACCCAATGAGTACAGCCCATTTCATGTGGTGTTTTCACTGCAAAAGCTCTCTGACTTGATAACTGGCAAAATTTGGTGATTCGAGGTGTGCATCGCTGCTGATATGAGTAATTGGCAAAGGTGGAGGATATTATTTTAAAGAGCCTGACTCATTTGAAAGCATTTAAGGAACAGAATGAAGCTACGCACGCAAAATTAATCAACAAGAGTCTGCTTTCAAATGTGCTGCCCTAGTACAGATTAAACTGGGTTTTAGCTCCTGGAATATGAACCAGCTTCCATTAGAGTCGGGAAAAAGGCTTAATATCTTATATACCAAAGACAAAAGGGATGGGGTTGTGCCCTTCTTTGATACAATTGTTGGCAGTGGATGTTTTTATTTCCCTACATCATGTGAAAACCGTGGTCATCCAACCTAGGTGATGTCCATGGCAGAAGGGACATCACCTAGGCATCTACCTCTGATAGAAAATGCTCAAGAAAATATTTTTTAAGGACTCTTCTGCTTGGGTCCTGCTGTTTTTTTTATTTCCCTACATCATGTGAAAACTGTGGTCATCCAACCTAGGTGATGTCCATGGCAGAAGGGACATCACCTAGGCATCTACCTCTGATAGAAAATGCTCAAGAAAATATTTTTTAAGGACTCTTCTGCTTGGGTCCTGCTGAGGGGTTTGCTTTGAGCCGGTCGATGTTTTACCCTCAAAAATATAAGCTTGACCAGGGACCCAAAGCTGACTGGGTAGGGCTAGACACAGGCTGCAAAATGAATACTCTGTTTGAATTCAAACCCAGAACCTAGTCCAAGCTCTGAGGTTTTATGCAGTGCATCACCCAATGAAATTGCCTTTTTTTCCCCCCTGTTTCAATTAGAAAGAACATTAGGTCAATCAGATAATGCCACATTGGGAGGATTTCCTCTTTATGGCGCTTGCCTCTTCAATTATCTATAATGAACTTCCTCACAGCACTGCAAAGCTTTTTATATGCAAACGAATCCTGTTTTGGGGCTGCCGCAATCACTGCTTGTTAATGAACTTGAAACAAGTGTTATCGGAAAGGTTACAGCACCAGTGGGGGGGGGGGGGACGACAGGATAAAGCTAGACAAGAAAGACCAGCCTGCAGAGCTGGGATTGGCCTGCAGGTAACGTAGTGGACTATCTCCAACCCCAATCCTCTGACCCCCTTCCAGAGTCTTTTCTGTTTGACAGACATCAAGCGAAATGCCCACTCTTGGGAGATGGCTGCTCAGCGGCAGATAGGGCTTCCCCATCCTCCTGTCCCACCAATTCACTCTGCCAATGCATCTCTCTCAACTCCTAGTGCTGGGGAGGAAACAAAAATGCAGGTGATGTTGCCAAGGTCTTTTCTCATGCCGGGAGAGAGAGAGGGAGGTGATTCAGAGGCTTCGGGACATGTTTGGGAGGTGAAGGGGAAGATTCAGGGGGTGTTGAAGCCATGCAGTCCCAAACAGTATTTACACATGGTATCTGCTGGCGTGATCAGAACTGGAAACTCTCACTATTGGTTTAATATCGTAGAATCATGGATAGGATTGTCTAGGTAGAAAAGGACCTCTCAGATCATCCAGTCCAACCATCAACCCAACACTGGTAAGAACCATCACTAAACCATATCTCCAAGCACTGTGTCTACCCGTCTTTTAAATACCACAACCTGCTCTGGTTACACACACCCTCCTTTCAGGGAGTTCCTATTGGTTTAATATCATAGAATCATGGATAGGATTGTCTAGGTAGGAAAGGATCTCTCAGATCATCGAGTCCAACCATCAACCTAACATTGATAAGAACCATCACTAAACCATATCTCCAAGCACTATGTCTACCCGTCTTTTAAATACCACCAGGGATGGTGACTCAACCACTTCCCTGGGCAGCCTGTTCCAACGCTTGATAACCCTTTCAGTGCCAAAATTTTTCCTCCCCTGGTGCAACTTGAGGGCATTTCCTCTTGTCCTATCGCCTTGGGAGAAGAGACCAACCTGCCCTGGTTACACACACCCTCCTTTCAGGGAGTTGTAGAGACTGAGAAGGTCTCCCCTCAGCCTCCTTTTCTCCAGGCTAAACACTCCCCAGCTCTCTCAGCCTCTCCTCATGAGACTTGTTCTCCAGACCTCTCACCAGCTCTGTTGCCCTTCTCTGGACATCCTCCAGCACCTCAATGTCTTTCTTGTCATCAGGGGCCCAAAACTGGACACAGTACTCCAGGTGTGGCCTCACCAGTGCCGAGTAGAGGGGTATGTATATAGCCTAGACCACCTCCTTCCCCTGCCCTTTGGCTTTCTATAGGTCCAAGTCACCCGGGGTTAGGTTATGCCTCACTTTCTCATGCTGAGTAGCTACTTAACCCTGCAGCTAAGGCTTAAGTTAACTCTGCATCCTTGGTAGCATTTACTGTTGGAATGGGTCCAGTGGAGGGCCACAAACAGCTAAGGGTTAAGTTAACTCTGCACCCTTGGTACTGTTGGAATGGGTCCAGATGATCAGAGGGCTAGAGCACCTCTCCTATGAAGACAGGCTGAGAGAGTTGGGATTGTTCAGCCTGGAGAAGAGAAGGCTCCAGGGAGATTATACTGGCCTTCCAGTCCCTAAAGAGGGCCTACAGAAGAGATGGGGAGGGACTCCTGATCAGGGAGTGGAGGCATAGGATGAGGGATTATGGTTTTAAACTGAAAGAGGAGAGATTTAGATGAGATCTCAGGGAGAAATTCTTTGCTGTGAGGGTGGTGAGACCCTGGCACAGGTTGCCCAGAGAAGCTGTGGCTGCCCCATCCCTGGAGGTGTTCAAGGCCAGGTTGAACAGGGCTTAGAGCAACCTGGTCTGGTGGGAGGTATCTTTGCCCATGGCAGGCAACCTGAACCATGCTATGATTAGCCCAGACAAATGGCCACCAGACCCAAGATGGTTTACCTCCATCCGGCTCCGATGACTTTGTTCTTGCCTGTCCTGGTTCTGGTATTAGCCTGGGCAAAGCCAGTTGAAGTCCCTCAGCAGCTGTCAAGTACTCACACCATCAGCATCACCCTATGAAAGCAGATGAGAAATCAGGTTGCTCCAAAGGGCTCTTCAGTCTGGGATCCCCACTAGGACAGACAGACCTTGAGGACTGAGGAATGCTTCTGAACCCCACTGCAGTGACGCACTGGGTGGTTACTGGATTTTCTTCCTGCCCCTGGCCATGGATCAGCTCACACCCGCCGTGTGATGATTGATGGCTCTTGTAATTCTATTCCTGGTTGGTGTAACTGCAGATGTTACACGTCTAATCCATTTCTTTATCTTCCTAAGCTATTTGCTTCAGTAAGATACTTCCACCATCTGCTCTAACAAGCTCCCAGGCTTTCATAAGCCATAAATTACACTTTTGAGACTTTCAGCTCCTTTCCCTACTTTCCAGCCCTGGATCAATCATTTTTCTCCTGCTGCCCCTTTCCCACACCTACAGATTAAGTTTGCACCTCTTTATCTAAGTTGTCTCTGCTCACACCAACTGGACCTGGCTTTAGGGTTGAGCAGGACAGGCTGAAATGGTATTGCTTTTGGGACTGGAGATGGTGGCTGCACCATCTCAATTCCGTGGTGCTCTTACAGAGAGAAGGCAGTGTGACAAACACGGTGCAAAGAAAAAAGGGGGGGACGGGCTTTCCCTTGGCGTCTAGGAGTTGTAAAGACTTAAAAGAGGGGACAACCAGGCACTCACAAGTGATCAAGACAGCGTGGTCTGTGCATATGGCACGCTTATGTTTGGTAGGCTGTTGTAGTGTTTTTTTTAAAGGATCCCATTTTCTATCAAACGTCCTTGGATTAGCCAGGAGAATGCTGCAGTAATTTCCTAAAGAGTTGATAGCTTCCTAGAATACACAAATTTGACAGCTGGCACTTATCTGTACTGTGAAGAAGGTGATCATTGCTACTCTAACTAAAGCTGTGCAAAATTAATGAGACTTTGAATGCAGCCTCCTGCATCCTCAGCTCTGGGTGGCCAGGCCTCTACCTGTGCGAGGGACCCACCAAGAGGCACCAAAGGCATTCCTCCTTTTGTGAAATAACAGCCAGCCTTTCCAAGGGGTCTCCGCACGCTGCGTTACGGTTGTTTCTTGGGAGCTGGATTCATCTGTAATAAATACTCTCTCCCCTTCTAAGCCAAAACAAACTCTCTTTTTTAAAAGCCCAGAGCCTGTAGTTTACAACCTGCCTTGCTGGAGCTAGGTGGAGACGTGCCTCTTGTACAGTGGTGCGTTGGCTGTCGGGGAGGTGAGGAATTATGCTCAGATTTTTGCTTTATTCACTTCTCATGTCATGGCATTGAGGCCAGGGTAAGTCCCTGGATGGGAGACGGTTGCTTTCCCACTACCTGATTAGCACAGCAGGTATTAAAAGGCACCAGAGGTAGCCTCCTTGGGTCCTGAAGGCTGAAAGTCTGTTGTGTGAACATGGGAGATAGGACAGGATGGACTGTCAACGAAATCCTTCCTCACCTCTTTATCTGAGCCTTCCCAGTAACGCTCCTTGAATACCCTTATAATAGGCTGAAGCCCAGGGAGATGCAAAGGGTTTCTAATCAGTGGAAGCGAAGCGTGAAGTGAGAAGGTTGAGAAACATCAGAGGTCTCCACCTGGGGCTGGGAAACCCATGTGCTGACTTGTCGCCTTGTCTTCTCTCTCCCTTAGGACTGTCCCCAGCTCCTGCAGGCAGAGAAGATCCTGGTGCCGGTGGAAGTCATCAAGCCCATCACGCTGAAGGCCAAGAACCTGCCCCAGCCACAGTCGGGCCAGCGAGGCTACGAGTGCATCTTGAACATCCAGGGCAACGAGCAGCGGGTGCCCGCCTTGAGGTTCAACAGCTCCAGCGTGCAGTGCCAGAACACATCGGTGAGCAAGACCTGTGAGCTTGGGAGAGGTGTCCCAGCACGGTCCCAGTGGGATCTGGTGTTGCCTTGCAACCCTTTTTACCTTATTGCCTAACAATTTCAGCTCCAGTCAAGGAAAGGCTGGTTGTTAGCTTGCAAACTGCCCTTTTTTCATCTTAGGCTGGCTGGTGTCACCACACAGTAGTTGGTCCTGCCCTTGGACCTCAGCGTTTGGCCATGCTGGGTCACCTTAGCCATGACACAATGGGCATTAATTGCAGCTTGACCTACTCATGTCCTCGTTGATGCCACATCCTTGCCCTTGGACCTCAGCATTTGGCCATGCTGGGTCACCTTAGCCATGACACAATGGGCATTAATTGCAGCTTGACCTACTCATGTCCTCGTTGATGCCACATCCTTGCCCTTGGACCTCAGCATTTGGCCATGCTGGGTCACCTTAGCCATGACACAATGGGCATTAATTGCAGCTTGACCTACTCATGTCCTCGTTGATGCCACATCCTTGCCCTTGGACCTCAGCATTTGGCCATGCTGGGTCACCTTAGCCATGACCCAATGGGCATTAATTGCCGCTTGACCTACCCATGTCCTCGCGATGCCACATCCTTGTGTGCATTCAAAAGGGTTTCCAAAGGGGAAGGGTGTTCACATCAACACTGAGAATTGAGGTTATTATGTGGGGGTTTGGTGATGGGACATGTAAAACCACATATAAACAGTCTGATGGATGTCAGCTTGTAACGGGTCCAAAGAAGGGTGAGATGCTGAAGGCTTGAGTCCAACCTTCTTCCAGTCGTTGACTCACCACGTGACTTTCGGTTAGTCCCTTTGCCTCTGCCCAATTCTGCTTCCCCATCCGCAGTGCAGGACCAGTAACCCCCCTCCCAGGGAGCCCATGGGAGATGTCACCGCATCCTGGGGGCAAACACCGACATCTGCCAGGAGCTGTGCCTACATGCAGTGGTGGTCTCTGCTTCTCCGGAGGTTTCTCCGTCAGATTCGTGTCTCGCAGACACGCGTTTTGAGTCATTGCCGCTGCTACCAGATGATTTATTAGTCAAAGAGCTAATTACAGGCTTTAGCCACTTCAGTGCAGCTCTGCCACTCCATGCCGGGCAGCGCTTGTTAAAATCCATCACAACATATTCTGCTGCATTAAGCAACATGCTGAAGATTATAGGCAGCTCACACATTTTACGAGCTGTTGCAAACAAGCAACTTCCCCGTGACACTCTCCTATTTGTTCCTTTTGTCCCTCTCCCCTCCCCCTGATTTTCATTACCCGTTAGTGGCCCGTGAGCATCCAGGTTTGAGGTTTCACATAAGAAAGCATGAAACCTAATTCGTATAAGAATGAAAATATATATATTTTTTTTTTTTCTTTTACAATAGCGAAAGCCTGCAGCTAAAGGGTGTTATACGGACCTGGATAGTCTTTATGTGTCTGACCTGGATAGTCTTTATGTGTCTGTCCAAAAAGTCTTAGTGAGGAAGACAGCAGCCACCCTTTAGAGTCATGAATTTCCAGGCATACATAGGCATCAGCGTGAGGTATCCCAGGATGATTTTAAGCACAGTTAGGCTGCCCCAGCAGTCCTGGAATGTCTTTCTCAGCATCCAAATCTGTGCTATCTAATACAGGAGTGTGGTTTCCAGAGGTAATGGTGTTTGTCTGCATGCTCCAAGAAGCTGCTGGCACCTGGGACAGGAGCTTCCATGCATCTCCAGAAGGGTTTGCTCCTGGGATGCCTGAATGCTGTGACAGCCCCACGTCGATTTTAATGCTTGTTTTGATGCCAGAACACTCCACGCTACCCCTGAGCTGCGCAGGGTGGCAGGGCTGAGTCTCACATTAATGCCAAGGCACTCCGTGACCTTGCTGCTGTGAGGTGTCTGGAGGACATCCTGTCCCATGTTTGGTGGTGGCTCAGGTGGACCTCTCTCTTCTCCAGGGAGAGAGGCTTATTTTGAAATAGACTCCACTCTTTTCCATCCTGTTTTCTGCCTCCAGCTCTCCCTTTCCCTCTCCCTTTTCCTCTCTTTCCTTCTCTTTTATTCCATTTTCTTCCCTTTTCTTTTGAAGAGACTTTGACTCTCTGATTTGAGTTATTATTATTTTTTTTTTTCCCCGGGAAATGTTATATCATTGTTGCTCTGAATTTGCCAGACGCTGAGAGAAAGAAATGTGGAAGGGAGAACCAGACAAAAGAAAGAAACATTCACACAGATACAAAAAGGGAACAGAGAAGCCCTGGCTCTGTTTGAGCAGGTGGCAGAGGATGCAGACAATAGGGAAGGAGTGCTGTAGATGTGTCTCCATCGTGATTATTTCCTTCCCTGCCAGAATTAGCATTCAGTCTGAAGCCACCCTGATACAATGAGCCCCTGCTCCAAGGGTCACCTGGCTTTAGAAACAGCCGCAGGAGCTTGTTTGCAAATTGAATCAGCCCCCTCCGACAGGGCTTTTTCACTCAGCAGAGTTGCTGGAGGAGGCACTGAATGTAGCACCTGCATTGCAGGCTTGGAGAAGGTCCAAAGGAGGGTGGGAGGATGTGTTGTGATGGTGTGTCCCCGAAGGGATGCTATCCTGCCAGCAGATCTTTCTGTTGGTGATGCATGCTAGACTAAGCAATCACTCTTGGCTTGTTTTCCTTCGTAAGCCTCAAGATCTACCCCCCTCCCCACCATACGCTAGGCACGGATGAGCTCAAATTCAGCTCTTGCAGAATAATTTCTGCAACACGCAGGAGTTTTCCTCCTTTCACACGGGGCAGGATCAGGAAAAAGCCTTAACTCTTGCTCTCCAACAGCCTGGTCCCTCAGGATTTATACCAGGGGAGCTGAGATCACAACCATCTTCAGCAGGCGATTTTCTAAGTGGCTCCAGCTTCAGTTAAGAGATGTTATAAGGACACCCAGGTGGGACCAGCCTATCTCATGGTCTGTCAGTAGTGTCATACCCAGCACTGATGGTACCGAGGTGCTTGGTCCAGTCAATAGCCAGCTCCATCTCTCCCCCCTGTCTTTCCTGGAGATATTTCATTTGATAACAGCAATAAGTCACTGCAGGCAGCGCGCTTCGGGACAATTATTGTTCTTGTCAAGTGGTTTGAGAGTCTCAGCTCTGGGCTTTGTCCTCTATCACACCACCCAAGGCACGCAATTATCACTCGGAGAGACCCTGCCTGCCATTCCTTATTGCACTTATGATAGCTCTGCCGACAGTCTGGACACAGAGTGATGGGAGGAAATGAAAAGGAGGAGAACTAAGGAGGCATATAAATAAGTAAGTAAAAACATCAGCAGAAACGGCTGAAATTGCTAGATCTATTAGGAGAGAGAGAGCAACGTCCCCAGTGGGAAGCAGTGGGATGCCCAGCACTTGCAATCAGCCCAATATTAGCAACCTTTGGCATGAGGAACGGGGAGGTGGGGGAGAGATGGCCCACCTGACCACGCCATGCTCATTACCATTACTTCCTTCAATGACCAAGCCCACGTTCTTGCTCAGTGTTGAGCCTGCCCATGGCACACACGGGCAGCACACGCTGATTTCTAGCAGCAAAATCCCTGCTGATAGTTTGCCTCAAGCCCTTCACAGGTCTGTGTGTCGTGAGAGACCCGAGAAGGTACAGCTGAAAAGTGCTGTGTAACACAGGGACAGGGAAAGCAAATCTGTTTTATTTGTCACATCATTGCACTTGAGCAAAAGATCTCAGAGGCATCTGAACTCTGTGATATGGCTCACAGGGTGGAGGCTGTGATAAAAAACAACAACCCAGAGCTGGGAAAAAATGAGGAGCTATTCACTGAAATCATGATGAAAACACATTTATGGGTGGCCAAAGGAAGACAAGCACAGGGCTGTGAGTCGTACATACACCTCCTGGTCTGGTGGGAGGTGTCCCTGCCCATGGCAGTGGGGTTGGATCTGGATGATCTTTAAGGTCTCCAACTCTAACTATTCTACGATGATTATGATGCTTTATTATTATTTATCTCCATTCAAACATCACAGAGAAACCCCCATCATGATGTGGACTCTATTGTCCTGGGTGATACCCAGCCATAAAAATTCAGTCCCAAACCTGGGAAGCAACAAGTCCAAAGAAGAGGGGATGACTGTGGGCAAGACATTTTCTGCCTAAAGTTTATGGCTGGAAAATTGACCCAAAGAGGGATTGAATGATTTGCATGGGATCACATAAGGAGTCAGTGGCAGAGCCAGATATAGGAATCAATCCCCAGACCAAAGCTCTAACAACAAGACTGGTTTTTATGCTGTGAGGGAAAACAGGCAACACTAAAATACCAGTAAAAGGATATTTGCCTGCAGGTCTTTCCCCACTATTGGACATGCTCAAGGTACAAGGGAGAAACATCATGGAGCTGCTCTTCATTTATCATCCTCTATGTGCCCAAACAAACTCCCAGAGGGCTTTACCCAGTGATGCACCATCCCAACAGGTCAAGCATGGTTATGGATTGGCACAAACTGCGTGGCTCGTAGGTCTGTCAAGCTGAGTTCCTCTAATGCAGAGTGCCTGCAGCAATGGGATGCCCAGAGCAGCCAGGAATTTGAGATTTCTGATGTGCAAAGTATCTTTCCGTGATGTTTGCCTAGCTGTTGTAGAACTGAGAGCTGTGATTTTGCAGCCATCCTCTTGGCCCGGGGATGTTCGTAGACAAACAGTCGATGTGTTTGTAGTTGCTGGCGTGCAATATGTTCAACCACTGACAACATGGCAAAATGGCCAAGTGATGTGATGGGCCCAGCCCATGTTGCAGGAGTATCTGATGCTGGTGAAGAGTTTTAGAGACAAAGAACTGGTGCTTGGGAGTTCAAAACATTCTGTGTCTTTCCTGTGAGTTACAACAGCTCCTTCTAGCAGCTTTTGGGCATTTCCTGATGAGAGCCAGTCTGCCTTTCTGGAAAGGCAACCTCTCTTTCTCAGTTTGGGCCTCTAAATTGCCGGTAATTTTCTGCTTTGATTTGAT